GTAATTAATCAGTGTTTTTTTTTGCTATTCAAAAAATTAATTGAGTTTGATTTGCCACATCTTTCACAATAATTTTCTATCCATTTACTTATTATAACATGTTAACATAAGCCATCATACAGATTTTTGTACATCAATCTCGGTTTTTTTTAGTTGTAGATTTAATCAAAACAAAATCTCAGAAATTATATATTATAATCCAAAACTTATTTCGTATTTTTTTAGCAACATTTATAATTTTTATACTAAAATTGAAACAAAAAGTGCAATCTTGCATTTTTCACTATGAACATCACATCTTAGTTGTCATCATGTACTTCAATTTATCCCAATTGACTGCTTTTTTCAAACTTCAAACAATTTTAAGATGTAAGTTTTTTTTGGTAGTCTTTGAAAATTCCAAAACCTTGAAGCACTCTTGAAATCATCAAAAAAATACTTTTGAGCTAATTTCAGTCTCCAACTTTGATATCTCACAAAATGACGATCAGGCGAAGACAAGATGATCATCACTAATTACTAAAAGATCTTGATGACTTCGGAACTATCTCTTGTCAGAGTGTCAAAGCTGATATATTACAATCTTGTCAATATGCTACAATATGATAATAAAGCAAGTGAGAAAAAAATTGTTCAACGTACAAAGTTAAACCTCCCAATAGTATCACCTTGTATGAGTGACATACTTTCATTAGTGACGTAAAATTCCAGAACCATTTGTTTCTAACTTGTACATCTGTTCAATAAGAATGGTACGTCACTAATGAGAGTATGTCACTCATACAAGGTGACATGATATTTTTCAATAGTTACAATTTCAAGTGTAATGTGGGAGTAAAAATTCCTATCATGATCACAATACATAGCTATGAAACTAAAAAAATGTGGCATAAGTTTAATTTAAGGTGTAGCTCAACAATTCACTCTTTTTGAGCTTTGGTAAAATAATTTGTTATATATATAACCATCAATTTTTTCACTTAGATTTTTGTGTATTAATATAAATTCAAACATAATTATAATGTCTATGTTAATCATGGTGAACAATACAGATGTGCAAATGAAGACAATTTTGAAACCAAACAACACATTAAAGAATGTCCTAGTATTGATATAATGTAGGATAAGAATTCTATGAGATTTTTTTAAAAATAATTTACACCTTCCAATAGTGAACTCTAAACCCAAACACCAATGTATGTTACTACTAGGAGTGAATATTAAAATTATGCACCTTCCAACAATGACATGCAATTCTAACACCAATGTATGTTAGTGTTAGAAGGTTATGCGCACTTTATTCTTGTGAGTGACACCTCACAACATTGACATAAAACCCAAGTATGACATTATTGGGAAGTTTAACTCTGTAATTAAAGAATGTAGTGATTTTAGTGTATATGCACCTAACATCCACCCACACAATTTTAGTGATATACATCCAAGAAATGCCACGCTATACACCCAAGAAATATTATATACGGTTTAAACTGCATGGGTGTGTATATACATTAAAATCAATATCACCGCTGTTAAAATATGATCAATCACGAAAACAATCCTTCGGCCCAGACAAGACAATATTATTATGCCACAATGCAAATTTCGATGGCAAAGCAACTAATCAACTAGATGGTCAAGTCAATACTAAACAAACGTCGTTTTGCAGTCCCCATCATGATAATGGAAGCGGAAACCAATAAGTTGCATTAATACGTTTACTACACAGATTGCTGACTTTGTAAACTCGATATCTCTGTGACTTTTAATATCATTCAAAGAGGAGCATGGGTCGTTGTGTGATTCCAGACAAACGTGCACATACGGCGTAATTTGTTGGTGTACCTCAGAAAACCCGTAGGCTAGCACCTGGTTTTAAATTTAGATACTCTGTACATCCAAGGTCAAAGAGTTGACCTGTGTCATGCTTCGTCTCTGGCCGGCTACCTCTTGCTGTATTTATGTAAACACAAATACGCAAATTCTTCGACCTGCGTTGGTAGATCTACGAAGTCCCTCACTGTTATAAGTGAAAAAGAACATTACTGGTCATCTGATTACCAGCTACTGTTGCAAACACAACCGTGGAAAACCAGAACTTACCTTTGAAAAATGTAGAATGACATATCAAGCGACAATGCGAATCTGATCGGTCAGAGGCCCTATCGGACCCTTTCTAGTTTAGTCTTCATTCGCCCGAATAAATTGGGAGAGAAGAAGGGACGGACAGTTTCAGACTGACCGGGAAAATCAACTTTGTTTCCTTCGTGTTTACTTTATTCTCATTCGTTTTTCAATGTCACTAACTTACTGGAAGCAGTTTGCTTTTCTCCGTGGACATGAGCACGGATAACAGTAAAAGATTCCAGTAAAACATGACCACATATCACTAAAGAATACACTTACGTTTCTCCATATAAGAATTTTGTGTATGCAAAATGTAGAGCAAAGCGTTTGGTCTAGATTCCTCTCACATCACGAAAACCAAAGACGGCGATAACGGAAGGAGTAAGAGGCTTGCAGTCCACATGATCTGATTGTTGCCAAAGCAGTGCCGAAGTGGTGAGTTAGGTGGCTCCATTCGGAACAATCAAATCTATGCGGCAGGCCGCCTTTATCACGGCGTGAGGCCCCGACATCTGGAGCATCTGGAAGGTTTTTGAGCTTGACAGGCAACGACTGGACTAAAACGGAAATCCTGCGAGGCTAAAAAGGTGTGCTTTGGATCTGACCCCCGACTCCCCGGGGAACACACTACAGAATACCTCAAACTCTTCCCATTTACTGCAGTCCACGTGTGTTCCATCAGTTTGGATGCAACTGGGATTCTAAGCTTTGACAGCCTTAGTCAGCTGGTGTTCTTAAACCAGCTGTTTAATATCTTGGAATGAAGTTTGACGACTATAATAAGTATTTCAGCTGAAATGACACTTCCACGGCTCCGTACCACTGAGACAAGCACTTCTAACCGGCTGAAGTGGGAACATTGTCGTATTTACCACCACTAAGAAAGCTAGTATCAAGAGTACGCTTAAATTCCCAAGGCAATGAAGTATTGAAACGTCCGAGAGCGAAGAGAAAAACAAGTTCTCCTTCGAATTTTTAATATATAGATGACATTTAGTTTTTAGTTTACATTACATTGGATCCACACGAACATTACGACCACCAAATGTCGCCCTACGTCACTTTCACGTGTGGAACCTCTATCCCCTTGTGTCACTATTGGTCGACATGTCACCCTGTGTTCATGGTAATATTCCCATTCATGGTAGCAATTCCAATTGGTTCGTCTTCTATACTATTAATCAAACACTCCTACTCCGGGAATCAATCAAGTGTGCATTTGGTTTTTTTATATATAAATTTTATTCTATCTAATTTTGATAAAGTAAAAAGAATCCTAATGGTCTTTTTTCTTGTTAATATGTCACTTCATAGAAATAAAAACGTGTAGAGCCTTCTAATCATTTTATCAATCTTCTAGACATGCTAGCATAAAAATTAATTCTACCTATTGAGGATTTCTACGAATAAAAGCGAAGTAACCAATTACGTTTACTTCTCAAACTCTAATATAGCACAAAACTATTGTTTTTTCACAATGATACAATTTTAGTATAAATATAATAAAATCAAGAAATTTAGACCCTTGATGTCACTTGCCACAACTATTTTTAGGTTTTGAATTATTTATGAATTTAATAACAAAATCGTGTGTCTCTAAAAAATTATGATGCAAAGATCGTGACAAAATCCATGATTTGAATTCAAGAAAGGAAGAAATGACATTTCATTCCTCTCTTTTGTGATAACTTGAAGTTGAAGAATGAATTTTTACATAACTTTTTTTAAGATAAAAAAATCCTTTTATTTTTTCTTGAATCAAATTGTTCTATTTTATAAAGTATCAATCTATTCAACATATATATTACAAATTAGATTCATTTTGAGTAATGAATGAGAATTTTTAGTTTATATTTAAATTCAGAATTACCATATTGAATTAATTTTATAAACTGAATGTGGATTCTGTAGAATTTGATGTTGGATATTTTATATTTTAATTAAAACTCAGACATTGAGAAATATATTTGTAATGCGTCACGCTATCTTTCAGTCAAAAAGCTTTCTCTAACAATCTCCAAGGGGACATGTGTAGAACAAAGCACATGCAAACATCTTAGAAGAAGAAGAAGAAGAAAATCAAAGCTAACATCTTTTGAATTTCAAAATTTGGACATTTGGGCAAACTTCGAAGTTATTATATTGACTTTTCTTATATCTTCCTTGTTTTTTATATTTATTCTTGGCTGTAGAGGTGTAAAATAATACATAAAAACCAGCTAGATGAGTCTTGAATGTGATCGTTAATCCTTCCCACAACCTGTTTTCAAAGTTATGTATATACTTTATTAAATGTGGCTCATCATGAGTTGGAACAATATTTAATGTGACTTAATCCCGTTTACTATAAATCTCCATAAAAATCATAACAATCCTATTGTATATCCACATGGTATAATCCTATATATCATGTGTTGGATTCAAACTTAATAATAAGTATGACTGACATCCAACATAGATTACTTCTCTACATTAAGGATTCATCTTGATATTTACGGCAGATATTTACACTTAATCCTTGCATATAAACTAGTGCTCCGATCGGGTCGGGTTCGGGTCGATTCGGGTAGTGATAGCACACGTAGTTGCCAACCGTTGCGGATATCGTGTGGTTGAGGTAACTGTTGAACTTATACTCTTCTGCTTTACGTCTTCTCCATCATTTAAAAGAGAGTGTCTGGTCGTTCGTATTGCAGAACACACGCTGAAGAGTTAACGGGTTAGAAGCTTACCGGCAATAGCGCATGCACAAGAGCTACGCAACGTCCACATGTAGATATAACCAACAAACGTCCACTATGTGAACGTTTACAAGATTCTACTCACCATTAACAAAAGGATTTGAACATTTTGAGTTGGAACCCGGCCTTACCAAGAAAAGGCGAGGGGATTCACCGGAGTCTCTTTCACCTTATAGCACTGCTGGGCTTTGAGGTTTCCGATCGATCCAGCCTAGAAACGGAAGTAGTAAATAGTCCAGGCGTGATCCGAATGTTCCCAAGAATATCAGTCGGCTCAGCCAGCACTGCGACGCGGATCTGAATTGATCCTTTATTATTTTCGGGTCGGGTACAGCCCTCTAACCCGAACCCGACCCGAAATCGGGTTTTACCTGAACATATCGGATCCCTAATATAGGTAAATGTTATATGTTCGATATATTACCAACAATAGTTCGGTGAAATATAACATTGCAATTGAATGTTGGTTATGCTAATATCACTGTTACGCTAATACAATGACTTATGACTTATGGAAGCAAGATTAGACTTAATGAGTGACGGTTTTGCTATCATATGTAATTGCATGAGAACAAAAAATCTATCAAATCATTGTCTTTATTTGCACAAGGATCTAGCAGCAATTGAATCGCATAAGTATCTAAAGAGTCCACATGATGGCTATATTGGGTCACAAATATCTTCCATTCAAGGGAAGATAGTCCTTTCAAGTAAAAGTATCTCATGTGGAATTCTTTACTTATGACTCATAAGTAAAGAATATTATATTTACAGCTGATATATTGTATCACTCATAAGTTATGAGTGATACAATATATCTATTGCAAATAGTTAACATGTATTTATACACTAACTCAGCTACTTTGGAAGCTAGTGTGTTGAGGATGATGCGTCTCATCATGCGCATTCCAATCATACTATTCAGTGATCTCACTCGTTCACACAAGACTTATGCGCCATGACAGAGTAAAGCAAACTATTTGAACATACATGTGAAAAGACATGGATTGTTGTTGTCGATTGATATTTATCATCCAACGATTACATCAGCTGTTGATCAATGAGAGTAACATCTTGCAAATGAAACTTGGTGCAAAGGCGGGTCCGTATTTCATCTATATGAGACAAAGATATATGACCTCAAGCATGACAAAGACATGTCTCATGTTCTTGATGTAGCTTGGATATGAACTTGTTTTTGTGAACTATCACTACCACATATGTGGGTGTGGTATAAAAGAAGAAAGCAATATTTCAAAGAGTTTGTATCGGGAGACAAGGAGAGAAAATGATTTTATAGTAAAAAGAAGCTACAAGGAGTAAGAACATGACTGCAAGCTCATAACGTCGTAGAAATGTCTTCCACACACGTACGATGGTGAAATGTTATGGACTGAAGACAAACGATTATATAAACGATTATGTCTTGAAATATTTGTGATCTTTACTATGTTTGACTCGATCCAGTTAACTGGATCGAGTCAAACATAGTAAAGATCATGTGCAATCATGTGTCATAGTCGGTTTGGCCTGTGATCTACTAACCTGGTCGATATAGAATTGGCTCGACAAGGATTTGATAACATCGGATATCGCATATCAGATCCCTGATTTGATATTTAGTACTATTGAAGCTACAACGCATACATCGTTGCGTTTAGCCGCATGATATATCGAGCGGCTACACTTCAAACAAGACAGAGTTCGCCAAGTCAGCCTTTTTGGTGGTGGAATCAGAGGGCACGGCAGCCACTGACGAGTGACAACCACACAAAAAGTGAGATTAACCAAAGCCCATCAAGCACATGTATCCATGAGAAGATGATGCATAGAGGAGAGGGCAAACTATCTCTCGCCGTGAGAGCACTACACTGCTTCACTGAACCCATGAAGGCATCAATCATGTGCACTCGAAAGGTTCAATTTCAGCTTTTCTAGCAAAGCAAGACAAGTTGTACATCTGCTGTGGAAAAAAAACGCAGGGAGAAGGAAGATTCGAATCTTCCCCAGCAGCAGCATCGCAGGAAAGGACCGAATTGACAACTGAAAAAGCTTCGACTCGCAGTGTGACAATGAACCGCGTGTCCCTGTCCCTCTAAAAGCGTCGAACTGCCTCGACATCAACTCAATAGAAGCCGCCTCACTTTCATCCACCACGTGTACTCCAAAAGAGTCTGAGAAAACTTGAGAGAGAGCTGCGTCCGATGTTTCTCATGGAGGTCAGGATTCTTCTCAAGTGCCCCTCAAGGAATGAACATCTGGGTCTCGTACTCGAGAGGCTCGAGTACGAGACGCATCTCTTCTCTCTCTGGTGGGGGACGATCGTCCTCGCCCTCACGGCTTCAGGGGGATGGCCATTCGACGTGGCAGAATCCAGAGAGGAGTTCCAGGTGGGCCCATCGGATGGGCCCAGCTGGTACCGGAGCATGTAACGCTGCGATCCGACGGCGTTCGGTTGCGTTGGCGCGGTGGCCGTTGAAGGCGTGGCGTCGTAAGCATGGAATCGACGTTGACGTAGACGAGATCGTCATCGGAAAGAAGTTCACACAAGTTCTCGATTTCTTTACGTCTCGTGGGCTTAAGCTGAGCTCGGCCGGACAGACAGCCGGACGGACGGACGGACGATGGATGGGCTCATAATGTGCACGCTCGCTTTCTTTGGCCGCGATGGCTAGAAGATCTGACGAGGAAGCGTTGGCGTGCCGTGATCTTTATCGAGCGAGTTGGACGTTGGCGCATCTCTTCGACAGCATTCGGAGTTCCACGGCTGCGATCATTACTTCGATGCCATTTGCCCCTTGCCCCTTGGGGAAACTCGTAGCGGACACACACTTTAGTGACCCCACCACTTTACACTCTCTCGGCCTGCAACCTCTCTCTCTCTCTCTCGGAGTGAAATTCGTGCATGTACCGTAGATTGTCATTCGGAATTTCTGCTGCAATGCTCTTGCGTACCTCTATCACATCCGAAACTATCATTCTTTAGTACTAACAAAATTATCTTGTTGATGAAGATGATGAAATGTCTTTACCGTACAATGGATGTTAGAATAAAATCTTGACGGACCATCGAATATTACAATGAGATGGTGTAACAGATAGATAGCTATTTTTCAATAGAAGGTTACAAAACCATATGTATGAAATAAATATAATGTGTATATATTGATAATTATACTCTGCAAGATTCTGCACGTGTTATGCTCATATAGATATTAAATGAATATCTAAGATGAAATTTTTCCTTATTCAAAAACTCTTCTTTGTTATATTCCCAAGGTTTTATTTAGAAAATATAGTGACAATATGGTTGCATAAAGAATTGGCAAGAACAATAACATACGATCTTTGCTTTGCCAATTCATCTGTCGCATTTGAAGAAAATAGGTATACCGTGACTCGATAATGATTTTCGATAATGACCGACAACTTCAATGTATGCGTATACGGTGCTCCTTGGAACTCTAATACCTCGAAAAAAAGGAAAAGGGATAATATTCTCACACCTCTATTGGCGAGCACGGAGTGCTGTCCAATTCCAATGTGGCGTGGTGTTGAGCACCATCCCCCAAGAAACCATTCTCTGGGGCGGGCACCCGACACGAAATGGGCTGTAAGGGTCCGGATTATTAAAGGCCTAACGTTAATTACTTCGGTCTTATGGAATAAAGGGTTAGTAGGACTCGAACCTACAATGCAAGCCAGTTTGAATTCGAAGTTACAAGTTTTCAGAAATCTAACTTGCGCTCTTGTTGTCCTTGCACACGCGAAATAGTCAAAGAGCCCTTGGTTATATATTTAAGACTTGTGTGTTTAACCGCGAGGAATGGCATGAAGAGCAGAGATTTCACGATGAAGAAACCTGCAATGCGCAAGAATATTGAGCGGATTTTCTTTATCTTGAAGATATATAGTCTTCTTATGTATGAGATATACATTCGCCTGATTGTTGTAACGGGTGGCGCGTGAGTGAAGTATCTAAACTTCAAGTCAATTTTGATATGGAATTTCGAGACTTTTCTCCGAAAAAATTACAAAACTTCACACAATGACATGATTCATAAACCACCTATCTCGATTACAATAATCAATATTCCTCATGAGATGAATTTTCATCGGGCTCGTTATCTGAGTAAAATGAAACTATGACTGTTCCCTTGAAAGTCAAACCTAAAAAGTCATCCTTGAAGGATGACTTTTCTCATGTGCGGTTTCTTACCATATAGGATTGAGGTCAAACCTCATGATGAACTTTGATCGTTGCAATTGAGATAGGTGGTCCATGAAACACGTCCAACATTTCACTGTTTGGTGTATTCCTTGTGACGTTCACATCCAACTAGCATACATGTGTACAACATGAACAGATATATGACCAAAAAAGTGTCACTTTTGATCCCACCAAACGTGGGTCGTCAAGCAGACTATAACTTCATTCCCTCACTAGAGAGAATGAACTGTAGATGCATTACCAGGAAATTCCATTGCTTCAATATTTTTCAAATTCCTGATCCACATTCACATCGAATCAGCAGACATATCCACAACTTGGCGGGCCAACAATCGAATGTTTCGCCTGCATTTAATAATCATAACTCCTAAGCTTCTCTATTACGCATTTGAGAATCAAAATATATTCTAGAGTGTCCCTTTTGCAAACTTAGTCCAGAAGTATCAACTCCTACAAGTAAGATTGTTAGGGTCAATTCGAAAGAATCGTCGTTGAGTATGAATGAGTTTAGATTCCAGTCATTTACTAAAAATCTATATGAAGAGGTTTGATTTAAAGATTGAAATTTGGATAAAACTTGAAGAAGTTAATCTTTTACATTCATATCATATTCTTGATATATTTTCCATATCATGATATAAATGGATTCTAAAATGACTAGATAATAATAAAAATTAAAAGGCTTATGGGTAGTTTTTATGGCAGAAGTAACTTCAAAGAGAGTTTCATCCACATATGATTCAAGCTTAATACTGAGGTCATTGAACGATATTCACAGTGTACTTTCTCCAGACTGTAACGCAGTTGCATGTACTAAAGTACTTCAACAATCCAATGTGTGCCTGATGATATTTAACCTGACTATAAATGTAATCACTATAATTACTTAAAAAAAATCGTCCGAGACTAAGAGTGTCCACATATGCAAGTCAAATGTTAATTGACGGAAGTTCCAAAAATGCATTCAACAATGTCTAGAATTTCGGTTAGAGGTTCACTTTACTCAGAGATTTCCGAAGTTGCGGGGTTTTGAAGTTGAATTCTGAATACAAGTTCGCGAGGTTGCAATTACTGTACTCCTAGTGCCATTCAATTGCACACGAGCTTCACCTTAAAGTCTGAACCCAGAAATCGATGGTTTGACGGAAACACATCACACTTTTCACTTCTCTTGATCAATATTCAGAGAATCACGTCAAGTCTTCGCATTACACTAAAGTTTCGAGAATAAAATACATTTTTGGGGATGGAAGACTCAGCGAAACTTTTACGCCATTGTTTCTCGGCAATATTATAAATCGGTCAGGACTGACATGAAGAGTTTAGAAAGTGTATTGTGAGACCTCCCTAATGTCGCGGTCGACTTTTTCTCCCGACCTGCTCTTGACTGGTGACATTGGGAGGTCCAAAACACGTGCCCGGAGTTTGTGAGTTACGGAATAAATAGTATGAACTTGACATTTTCTTGGGCAAATCACCCAATGTTTTGTTTACTCCTTACATTTCATAAGATACTCATTTTTTTTTCCAAATTTTGTTGTATTTTGAGAGATGTATAAAGAGGTTTACTATAATAGATGTTATGAATGTATATAGGAAGTGACAATCTTGCGACCTTTTATTATCTGACCTGAATTAATAGTTTCTTTTGGATTAAAAAACCTGACATGAATATGTACTGACGACCTCATGACCATGTCCCATATGGTACATAATCACATAATAAGTCTGCGTTCAGTTTACACAAATGCACCCATGGCAGATTCATCTTAGAACTTATTACAGATGTGAATTTTTGGCGAAACGAGGAGCCAAGCTCGATAAGAATGTCTGGATTTTATCTAAAAAGAAGCATGAGTAGGTTTCCTTTCTGCCCCTTTGAAAATATTGTGAGAACATATACATCAGAATTGAAACACTGCTGTGTTAGAATAAATTATATGCAAAAACATGTTTCAGATTGAAAGGTTCAAAAACTCTGTTATTTGAACAGCTTACTCTCGAATCCATTGGCGGTTTCAGTATTTACCCGCTCATTTGAATGTGCAGAGACCTTATTACTAGCTTCCAGAAATTGAATTTGTTCAGTAGATTTATAATATCAATGAAGAAAATCTTAGTATTTGTTTGTTGCTCCTCTGTGGTGAATATGACAAAGCATGGTTGATTCGTCTCTATCCACAAACTAATATCCCACTTCTTGTTGCAAGTCATGAACAATCGTTCTAATAAACGCTGACACATAGAGTGCTGGACAATCTTATATCTCAATATGTATATAATTTTATATAATTGAGGTTCTAAAACGTTCCCAGCATACGGGTTTTGCTGACCTCGTTCAAGTTAGCACAAGCCCATTTTATCCTGGCATCTGTTTTGGACAATTCATCTCAATGGAGCCCCTGCAGATCCGATCCGAGAAAACGCATGAAGGTATGGGAGCCCCACGTTTAGACGGTCAAGGATAGTCTGTGGCTAGAGGCCATGTTCAGAATGATTTACTTATCAAACATGTGATATTCTCCCAGTTCCCTTGGCCAAATGGGTTACGTATTTTGTGGATGTTGTTGTAGCAGGAATGAAGTTTGTCTGATTTAGTCCAAGTATGTCGAAGTGAAATGTGATCCTCCTCTCTATCCAATCCATGTGTAGTGGCATGAGGCTTTTACCTGGAAGGATATTTGCCCTTCATGTGACCAGTGTGTAAGTGGAATGTGGGAGAAATGATCATAATGATCATATATGAGACTTTATTGTCAACAATGAGCACATGGATCCGTAATACATCTTCACGCTTTTTATCGTAAGGAAACAAATCAGGTAGAAGTACAAGAATTGGAGTCGCGCACATGCACATTCGTTTTCCTCTATATGTGGATGAACGTCAAAGCGACATTCTCTACGCACTATCGGCTGTTCTTGTTTTTCCCAGTTTTGGAGTGCATGTCCGGATGTACAGCCTTCGACGAACTGTATGCATGACAATATGTTCGAAGATATGCATATGTACGTGTATAGTCCGATTCCGGTAATACAATTAAGTATCTTGTATAGATCCCAGTTTCTGCACACGACGTCGATTTCGGATTTTGTAGTGCAGTAATTTTCGCTCAACTCTTGAGGTTACTTTCGACACCTTAGCAATATTTAAATCCACTATGTTTGCTTCTCACATGGCATAAATCTGATAATGGATTTGATTCATTTGTTCACTACGAAACCCTGAATATGCAAGTGCCAGAAGTAAATGATGTATTGATATATCATATTCGTTCCCATTGTCGTTGATTGAGAATGAACAACTTACATACATTCAGAGATAGCGAGACCAATTACAAGTATTTATGGACCTCAAGGGCTGTGCCTGGGGTTAATATGATAGCAATACATTCAAATCAACATGCAAGTTGCAGGTCCCACAGCGCGTACTGTGAATGCAGATTAAAAGATATTCCGATTAAAGAATTTAGAGCATCCGAGCAAGTACAAATCCACGAAAACCGGACATCTGAAACCATGCGTGGAAGAAATTGAGAATATAAAATATCTAACAGAGTTATGTCACGAGTCCATGAACAGGGACAACAAACAGTGCGCTGAAGTGAGCATGTCAAGCTTGCTAGACGACAGGCGTTAAATGACAGAACGTGGAGGCAGTGGATCTGAAGCGTGGAATAAAGATACCCATAGGGTACGTTGAGTGGCAAGTGCTAGCATGTATCCAATCAATCCTGGAATCCAGATCATCGAAGAAAGTGCACGTGCAGTCAAATTTCAAGAGCTCATCAATACCCTGAAGCTCTCTTGTCCAAGAGGATGTGTGTACCTCAGGCTTCACTTGAAAGTCGTCGCGTGAGATCTCGGTCCAAAACTTTATAGAATAGACAATAAAATCAGTGGGCTACCAGCGGTCTGCTGGTCGCAGGCAAAATATTCATTCATGGAACTATGTTGCTTGACAATCACGCGAGTCAACGATGGGTAACCTCCTATTCAATCATAAACGTGCGCGTGCAGAATGACTTTCTCCAACTGGCAACACACTACTTCCACAAAATTAATGTATAAATCAGGACCACGGGCAGTACCATGAAGAAACTTCAGGGCTGGATGTAAAATCAGAAGCTCCTGCTACAGAGGAACATATCACAGTAGACACTTCCAGAATTTTGATGTCAAAATTTATTCCAGTTTCAAACCTCGATTGAACTGGAACCTAAGCTAGTAACCATTCGAACGTCTCGGTCCCTAAACCTCTTGCACAGCTACAAAGCGTAAATAAGTATTTATCTGAGTCTTGGTGTTGACATCTTGTAGGTAGATGTTCAAACATTGAATATGATGCTCAGAACATAAGAGTGGACTTCAAGTACCAACTTGTCACACCGACTTGACTCAGAATATTTATGCCCATTGGAAGAATCTATACATGCTGATAAAAGCTGGAAGTAGCGGCTGACGGCAACCTTTCTAACTCAACCTGCACTTCCCTCGAACCTATCTGCAAGGAAAAGAGCTAGGTGTACAAGATTTGGATGAGGTTCACATCTCATGAAAATATAAGTTAAGTCTACTAAGCTGAAACGTTTTCTATTTTCTGACGGTCGCGGCACAGCGATGGCAGGCGTAAATTTTGAGTCCAACCTAAATTTTGAGCTAACAAGGAACGAACTTGAACATATAGCATAAGCAAATTGTTCAAGTCAGTGGATTCTTAACGACGCTCAGGGTAGTTAGCTCTTGATATGGTGGCATCAAAGACTGTGTTACTTTTCTAAGAACATTTTGACTTCACTGATTGTAGTGTCATTAGACAGGTCACGGTATGTACAAATTGTTATTTACACAGTACGACTTCCACAGGTCATGTACATTGTAATCTTGTCAAAAGGCCAAGACATACTTTCAAGGTGTATGTGTTAAACAGGAGCATCCGGCTTCGGCTCGAAGAAGAATGTTCGATTCTCCCATGAGAATAATACGTGTTTGGCCTCTTGTCCTGCCGGTGGCGGCATTTGCTCTGCTCTTTCCGATGTTCTTCTCCGTGGAGGCTCTGGTGAGAGTTGCCAAGACTGTTGGAGATTCGGTAGCAATTTCTGAGTCCCGTCCCACAGGTTGTAGACGAACACAGACGTTGGATTTTCTCGAGATGATGGAGAAACTGGATACCTGCAGAGAGAAAGGTAATCGCCACTCGCTTGTACATGATACTCTGCCTGCAAAAGACTTGAGAAGCTTTCTTTCGGCCCTTCACACAGCTGTCTTACCTGCACCAACTCAATCCAGAAAAAATTACTTACTTCTCTTATTACTTGTGATTCGTGTTCTAGCACAACATTGTAGAATATGAGTCTTGATTACCCATTACCCAGAAACAAGCTTTCTTCTCTTCCGTAATATTTACTTCATGGAAAAACAACTGTCTACAGGATGTCCTACAACTCTTAAAACATTTCTGGCAACCTTCAACCTGGATACTCCCTGGGATGAAATCGCAGAGAAAATGCAGTTTATCCTTCCAGTTTTCGTTAGGGTTTAAGACAGAGCATTCTTGTACCTAGATCAATTTACCGATGATTTCTAGAAGTAGACAATTCATAATATTCCATACAGGTTTTGAAGTAATTTCGTTCTTCAGTTAAATATAACTCTATACGGAATGTCCTCATAGACTAATCTGGTTTGCAGTGATTAAAACTTTTATATAATTGTAACAATACCTCTTATTTCTAATCCATCTCTTGAGGTTCCCTATGCCACGAAATGCGCAGAGAACACCTTAACAGCACTTCTCTCCCGTCAGGGTCACAAATGGCCTTGTATATCCGTGGATTCACTTCAAACCAAATTCTACCAGCTAATGGAATTCCGCAAAGCTTTAAATACTCTTTGAATTAACATGCATAAATACAAAAACACAGGCAAATAGATCGTCACCTCTCTGTTCAAACCTAATTATAAATCTTAAGCAACTCAATCAATCTCCTCAATTCAGAAACTATCATGCTTGAACTTGTATCTGTTTCGTGTCGTGTGTGGATCAACAAATTTCAAGTTATTGTGCATCTTTTTGAAGACTATAAACACCAATAAGTGAAAAATCTGACCTCGAGCAACATAATCTTGCAAGGAACGCTAACCAAAACATTCAGATCTTTTCGCAGTCAGACTTAGAGATAGCATAAGCTTTCACCCACCTTAATCCAATCTCCTTTAATAGGATCAAGCTGCCAAAGGAACAAACGCACGTTCAAATAGGTGTCGACTCCCGCTGCCATTAATTGCCCTCTGTAATCAAAGAGCAAAATCGACGATCGGAACCGTGAAGGAGGTGGACGAATCGTAGGAAACACAGCTGGCAAAGAATGCCAGAATTGACATCCAGGGTCCTGCCGAACAACATCAAACCGAGGACCTTGCCATGGAATCTCGCACACTGTTAAGCAGTGAAGACGCCCCTCATGAAGAACCACATTTTGAACTCGGAAGTTCTTCACCCTCTTATCTGGCATAATAAATCCTGACGCCCGCCACGACTTGTCATTGGAGTCATACAAATATAACTCCACAGCATGGAAAGCGGCCCGATCATGATCACGTTGAGCTGCAAGAATGTTATAACTCTTGGTCATGGGATTCCACACCATTCCTACTATGTAATAATTCGGACTCAACGGAGGTACTCTGTTGTGGAATGATTTCCATGTAGTCTTCGAGGGGTTTACTACATGCAGGCCATGAAGATGCGAATCCTCTGTGAGCAAGATAAGACCACCTGCAGTGGCCACTACCTGGCTGCCACAAAATGGACCCGTATGTTGATAGATGCTCGACTCATAGATGTCTGAAAGAACTGTCCACGGCCCCGAGGCCAGATCGTAAGCCATAAGTCCACGCTTGTGATCCACGAGGCAAATTGGTGCTGGTGTTGAGTACTTGGAACGAATCTTTTGGTAGTTGGAGCTTTCTATGAGGGCATTCCATTTCTTACAGACCAAACGGATCCTCAAAAGACTCGCCAGTGGCAACACGGCCAGGATGTTAGTGACAACACCTTCCGGTAAATGATTTCCCCACACGCTCTTATCCATTTCTACAGCTTCTTCCGCTCCTTCATTGGACCTTACCCGCCTGAAACATAACATTCGTCCAAGTTAACAACACGAGATTCACCATACCACCGACTCCGCAAACCGTCCCAGTTCTCAGTCTTCTGAGGCTCTCAGCCAAAGAAAATTTCGCCAATCGGCAAAAAGTAAAAGAAGCACACAGTGACAGTGACAGCGACAGAACTGAAGCCGGCAGTGAAGTTGTGCATACCGCAAAGCCCCCGGGTAGAGTCCCTCGTCGACAAAAAGAGCCCTCTTGCGGCACACAGGGCATGCAGGGCTGAACGAAACCGGGCCCTCGACTTCGATCCACTGAAAGAAACAAGAAGAGAGGTCATGAGATTCTCGCGAGGACGTGAAAAAAAATGGACAGGGTAAAAACGAAGGATGAAAAACAGGCACGGCATGTCTAGGTCTGCAGCACTCACGCGTCGGCTGAGATTTGCCCGTGCCATGGTTACCAAGCGAGCTCCCTGCGATCAGATGACTCACAGCAATGCGCGCCGCGCCAAGTGTTACAGCAACCTGGAAACCATCACCATCACCACCGCCACCATCGAGCATCATTCCCGGACTGCGACATGCGTGTGCACCCCAAATTCCTCGCAGGGCCTTCCTTCCTTCACGCAGAAAGCGTATCCGACGACGATTCGACGAAAGCGAGCAGTCAATTTGAGGCTCGCTTTCTAGCTACGCTGCCGAACGTCCTAGCTACGAGCGCACAAGCAAACTAGCTGTGCTCATGACGAGGAATGAATCTGCGGCTGCGCCATCGCGAGCCTCCAATTGCCTCGAGCCAATTCTCATTCTGGCGATCAGCTCGCGAGTCGATGCGCAGGGAGGCAGGCAGGCAGCGGGGCAGAGAGGCCAGTGGATCTTCGAGAAAGTTCACGCTGGCCGTGTCTCGTCATCAGTGGCGCCTCGCGGAAGGGGCTCGTCAGCGTCTCAGCTTGCCGCGCAGCGAATCCGGCTGCCAGCTCGACCTATTTCGCGCACACGTAGGCGTTCTTTTCCGAGATGTCGCCCGGGCGAAGGGCGCCCGATAAGTCCAGCCTGGAAAGCGAAAGCAAAAGGCCAAAGGATAGACAGCAATCCCGACGCGAGCCCTGGTGCGACGCTCTTTCTCATCGACGCGTTCGCGTTCGCGATCGCAATCGCCATCTCGATCTCTACTGACGGCACCGTCGCGATCGGACCGAGCGAAGAGGACGACCATCGCCAGAGTAGTTCCCCTCTCGACGGGTGCTCTGAACGGACTCTCGATCCGGGCGCAAGTGTTTGCGCTGCCGCTTTCTGGTAGGATTCCCGATCTGCAGACGTGTTAGATATCGAGGACGTGAATAGTGAGAGGTTAATTCGGTACTCTGGACGTACTGGCGATGGTCGCTTTCGTGTAAAGCTTTCGCATTCCTCAGTGCACAACGCTAAATATTCGTAGAGCGTGTGGATTGGCAAAGGTTGCCACTGGGCGAGCTATGGGCCTCCGGAAAGCGGAGCTTAGGCAAGTGTCTAAACAGTTTGGAGTCCGAGTCTCCTTCATCCCTCTCAGAATTCTGTTCGACTCACATCGAGCTGTGCTGGGCATGCATGTGCAACTACAATAACCGCTGTGGGCACTCTGTTCGACTCACATCGAGCTGTGCTGGGCATGCATGTGCAACTACAATAACCGCTGTGGGCACTGTGACGACGTGTGCTGTAATCAACTTGTTGGTCATAATGGCTGTCAACCAGAGGTCAAACACACCCAGTTATAAACAATGTGCGACGACCCTTGATCGACGTGTTGTGAATGTTGTTGACACCATTGACTGAAACGTGGACCGGGGTTGTAAGAGGAAACTGGGATAGCGGAAAAGTACTTACTTCATTGTGCAGAACGAAGTAACTGTGGCGAACTGGAACCTGGTGGCGTGATGTAAATGTGAAGGCTAGAAGGGAGAAGCACGAAACGGAAAGAAGTGGAATGTGGTTGTTGTCCAGGCGTTTTCTCCAGGCAAACGTTTCGTGCTCCCACCGACTGGTCTTCAAGCTCATCTCATGTACATGTTGCAGGCTCTTGTTCACTCTTCGTCGTCCAACCGATGAGTCTCAAGGCTGCCATGGATGGAGAGCCAGCGATAGGAGGAGTATGTCTTGAAGCCACCACTTCCCACAATTTATACATCGCATGATGCCGTTCATACCTCCGTGGTCTTTTGCCACTGTTGAGCACGTGTGCCCGAGTCACAAAAATTATGTGCTTTCCGAGGCCCACATGTGCGAAACGGTACATATGCTTAGGTTGTGGTTTGACTGTTACGACATGTCGTTGAAGATAGACGTGTATTTTGGTGCCATTAATGGCAGGACAACTGAAAGCATTCTCATAAACCTGTACGTTCACAGCTGTCCATTTCAGCCGTAGAAGGTTGTAACTCGTCAAACCGTGCATATGTGCCACAAGCCGCAAGCCAACTGGGAATTGTTTGCGTGAGACATAATCGAATCCTTCAAACCTGCAAGGAGATCTACATCTTTATTCAGCAACATGACGAACGTCGAGTACATGGAGCAAATTGTTCTTGATCTTATTCTTATTCTTGAGACAACAGGGAGAATCTCAGTGCTCGCACACCTAATTGACAGTACAAACGACCATCAGACTGGCAAGGTCAAAAGCATCTGCTTCGAGGAATGGACAAGCACTAGAGAAGAAGGTACTGTCAACATCGTGTTGAAATGAGTGCTGAAGTGCAATGAGTTGCATGAGTAACTCATCCAGGTACAACTCTGAAAACAGGAGATGTGAAAGCGAATATTCAGATGGTGTCGTTCAGCCTCGGTACATCTGGTTCTATGGTGCAGACGGTGAATTGCAACTGACTGACATGGGGAACGCATGTCCCCTCAGATGGACGGGACAAGTGAGCAACCTACCTTTCAAAAATGACGTTTCACCGAATTTGAACATCAGATCTCAATGCATAACCACAAGTGACATCACCATGACACTCAACTCATCAACGGTGATTTCAAGAGACGAAGTCTGTAAAAAAGAGACGTCCTCTTGGACAGGCGTTTAGTGATCAATATAAAGTCCAGTCTGCAAAAGAGAGAATCTGTCCACAAAATTGAACAGTAAGATAGCAGCCTGAAGTGATGATTTAATAAGCTGCAGAGGCAAATTCAGATAAATATCACCCAGTTTCCTGTGGACGGGAGAAAAGGAAAAATCAGCACTTCACGTCAGAGATCCAATTGATTACGTCGGTGTGGTCTAAGTAACGGGCCATCTTTTATATGATTACAAGTCCAGGACAGTGGACGTCAATACAGGATCCGATGTAATCTCCAGAGATACAGCTGTAAAAACACAACTTCGTTGTGCGCTACTGGTATACAGAGGTTGTCATCAGAAACGCTTGCCTTTCTAAGCACACGTGCCATGTTTGCAGAGCTTTAAGTATTTGGTTCCAAACATGGCCTAATATACAGAGGAATGTAGAAGTTACTATTGAGCAGTCCCTGTTCCATGGAGAGAACTTTCATCCTAGTCACATAGACTTGACAAGCCTGGCTAATTTAATTGTTGAACGTGCTGGCTCGATTGTGTGAGCAGGTACTCCATCACAACGGAATTCTGAAGTAGCAATAAGCGAAGGATATCCACTGACGTCATCTTTCCTTCTGAAACAACTGCCAGACATTCATACCCCCGATACCAAACACGGCGGCAGCACTGACGATGATTACAATAGACACAAGTGTCCGATTGCTGGAACTCAACTCTTTGTTATACAATCTGCGCAGGTCAGTCCCAGTATCAGGTAGAGATTCTGTCAAAGACGATCCAATCTCCTACAAGCAAGCATACTGGTTGTTAGCAGTTACTTCACAAGTACTCAATGACATGCAGAGCAGGAGCTACTTTGCTCTGTTTCTAGGTTGCAGATTGTCAAATCATTACTTGAAATAGAACAGAGCTGGGAGAAACAGAGAAACTGAGACGGAACAGACACCGCCCACGATAGATTCGACGTTGTCCAACACATCGTATCTGTGTATCATAAACAATGCAGTATTAGATGGCAGGAATCCGAGATGAGCCAAACTGGACTGGTTCTTTGTGTTTCAGCTTGTTCAAGAATATATAATTCCAGTTACCACAAAAAAAAAAGATTCTCGTCAGCGATTTTATGCGTCAGAAAACAGAATACGAGTAGTACAAAGAAACTTTGTACAGACTCAACCATATGGCTGAGTAGCTAGCTACAGATGCCTGTGGCTCATATGCTGAAAAGGAAACTCAAGAAAGGGTAAGACTCACGCCACAATTGCCACAACATAAGCAAGACCAAGAACTATCGTCCGAGCAACAAGATCTCCAGCTCCTGTTCAGGTACACACAGTTTGAAGGATGTCAGTTTTAGTCCTCAAATACGAAGACTAGCAGAAGAAAAGTAAGCGCAGAACGACAATCTAAGGGTCCCTTACGGTAAAAAATCCAGAAAATACAAAATATTCTAGTTATTTCAAGTACCTGGGATGTGTGTAGCAGAGTCCCCACGGAGCAAGTCTACAATTAGCTCTGCAACAACATACACCAAAGCCTGGTCGCATCTCTCCATACGTTAAAAGCAAAGTAACGTCAACTAGATGAGATATTTCAATGTTCAAAGTATTCTTCTGCAAGTAGTTCATTACTCCTACCAGCAAAGCTGTAGGTTCGGACTTTATCTAGCCATCAAATCGATAAGCAAATCACAATCTTGGAAACCAACAGCAAGCACATAGCCGCAGCCATCACGGTCAAGGATGTTGAGCCCGCGCGTCCAAACAACATTGCTTTCAGTATCATGATGTTTGTGGATGACGCTTACCGGACAGGTAGTGTAGGCACTCGTGGCCACGAGGACTATGATAAGCTGATTGATTGTAATAGTAAAGCTTCCAATTTTGAGAAGAATGAATCCTGTCACGCTCGAGGAATCATTCAAATTCCCCGTGATGAGCACCTGCGTGGCTTCTCCAAAGTACAAGTAGGCGAACCCACCAATAGTTGAATATCTGCAAATAATCAAAGGGAAAATTACTTCGAGATCCCTCTTGAGATAGCATCTACACCCAAAACCAGCCGATACTAAGAAAAATTATAAATGTAGTCGAGATTCTTACATGACATAAATGCTAAAGAATGCTATGCTTATACAGCGCTCAAAATTTTCTGGATTCTTCATGCTTCTCCGCAGCGATGGAACTCCCGCATGTCCTGTTCTCCCAGCATATGACAATGATTTGTTAAGAAATGAATTGCATACAAGTAGCAAACTTGGGATGAAAAAGTAACACTTTTCTTGAAGAGACTGAAGCACAACTCCAAAAGAGGGGGTGCAGACGGCGAGATCATACTCTGAGAGAGAGAAGCACAGAAGGTTGTGAGAAGAATTCTTCCCGGTAAGGCTAAAAATGGCATACCAGACAACGAGACAATCATAATGCCGGCAGCCATTGGCAAATGGTCCCAGTCGATAACTTCATGTTCGCGAGCAGCCGGATCTGCCACATCTTTCTGTTGTGGATCCATTGCATATGCAATAATCACAACTGTTTTCAATAGACATTTCAAACTTTAGTTTTCTCGAAAGTTAAATCACATTTCTATCTTTCAGGCGGCGTCACATTAAATTCAACCATAAAGAGACATTCTGGATAGTGAGTTGGACTTTACCAGATGTTAACAACAAAGAGGAGATGACACCAGAGATGCTGAGAGAAGTCAGACGGGAGAATGTCCGGATTAGCACCGCTGGAACCATGATCAATGTGCTTCCTAAAATGGCGACTTCCCTGTACAAGAACAGGTCAATGAGTTAGAACAGGCAGAAGTGATAGCATAAGAACTTAGCAACTTAGCGAAGGGAATAGACAAGGGCGTTGATATTCAACCATGTTGGTTGATGTTCAACCATGTTCTGAACGTTGATGTCGTGATTAAGCGACTTACATCGGGATCATACAATAAACTCCCAGACATAGTGGATAGGACGGAAGCAGCATTGTGATGGATTGCCAGATTACGATCAAGCACAGACACAACGCTCCAAAAAATTCTGCTCCACCCATCAGCATTACCTGCGAGTTTGAAAGATTCACAGAATATAAGCCGAGAAAGTTCAAAAGCATGTTCAAAACATTAAGCGAAACAAAGACATTCTCTATCTGCTAAAATATTCAAGGTTGAGCCTTTGCATCTCATATCACACTGATGAAGAGACAGCACAGTCATATCGGAACTTTCACTATCCTTCTTTGAGGTTGCAAGTTTTGCAAGACGTTTCGCCATTCTGAGGTACAGTGCAATTCATTAGAAAATGCAGCAAGATGAACAGCTTGTTTGAAGGCATACCGCGAACTGACCAGGAACGCCGAAGACGGTATGACCCAAATTGGGATAAGAGGGGACCAAATTCGGCGGCACCCTATCGAATGATCGACAAATAAGCTTTGCTGAGTAACAGAGAAGTAAGGCAAGCACTGCTTGAAGAACCTGTCAAGATCCAACAACAAATGTCACTCATTAGATTAAAACCGGGACAGAATTTTCTTCATAATTTCCTTCCGATACATAAACTCCTGCCCTTATGAAATGACACGTTACACTGTCCATTTTCGAACTCGGGAGACAGCTGCGATACGAATTTGCTCGACTGGAGATATCTTCTCCTTACTGGTGCGGCACTCTGATGTTTCCCGGAAGAATCATAAAGACAATCAACCGTGCAGTCCAGACCCACGACCTTGAGAATTCAGCAGAACTTCATTGACTTTGTCTCACAATACGTACAGGACAGACTGACAGAACGACCAGTCTTGTACTTCGTGACTTTAAGATGGCATTATTCCTGGTTTTCAATTAGACATTTATGACCATTTTGACATTTATGACCCTAGACCATTATCCTTCGTTGGATTTTGCCTCCTTGGCTTGAATTGATATGTGCGAAGAACTTCTATTACGTGCTCAGGATAATATGTTTCTCTACAGATCTCGACTCTAATCGCGATAAATTGGAATCCTCCAAAATCTGCAATGATTTGCTTTCACATTAACAACCAGAATACTTCTCTTTTCTGCTTACAACCTGTATATTATCCATGGCTTCATTCAGAAGGTCTTCATGGAGCGGATCACTTCTTAGACAGAGAGCATACGTTTCCTCAGTGCAGTTTACGTCCAGTACTCTCTTCCTTGAACAATTACTTGCATTTCCGTACTGATTTCCACTATACTGTGCTGTTCTTTCCTCGTATTGCCGGCACCTTTCTTGCCGTTGAAACATCCAGCGTAATAGAACTATCGGAAAGAGCTTGAATAACACATTCTCCGCTCACTAATTATTCTGCAACATGTGGTAAAGAGTTTAAGCTGCAGGAATGGTGCGGAAAGCAAGAGCGAACTCACCATGCTTGCCCAGCCTCCTAGTCTGACGGCGTAACCCAGGCTCAAAATTCCCACCCCAACATATAAATTTATCTGCACATGAAATTGATAGAATTCAGCAACAAAATTCTTCATGGTCAAGGTCTTCGACGAATCAAGTTCTACTCTAAACCAGCTCCAGTAGGCCCGATTTCGGTGAAATGATGATGAAGAAGAAGCGCTGACCGTGTTAATAATAGTCTGCAGGTCCGTTTGCAAGCTACGCGATACTTCATGGTCAAAGCTTTCGAGAATCTCCACTTTCGAAAGTGGTCGATCCAAAGAAGTCACAGGCGGAAGCAAATGTGCCACCCCATTTTCCTGCGCGGAGGTGATTTCATCGTCATAGGAAGACAACAGCGGCTCTTGCAAGGATGGCGCCATTGCTGCAAACGACAGTGCTTGGCTTCGGTCCAACTCTCAACTAACGTCACCGACAATGCTCCTCGTCCTCCACAAAGCTTGGCACTCGTACCTACTCGTCTCGCAGATCTCCCAGAGAAGGATCACAGTGGATCCCAAAAAATTCGAATTCAGCTGATGCACTTCAGAATCTGAATCCCTGGAATCACAACTCCATTCGGGCCCCGAAATCAGTAATTTCCATCAGCCGGATTGCGATTCCAATTGACGCCTGAACACTCCCACGACCGCCTTATCCACTCCGAACGCATCAACACCAGCTCTCATGTCTGCAGAATCGGCCATCCCCGACTCTCGATTTACGACCCGGTGCCAAACGAGCGCAGACCGAAGACCAATGCACGATGCCGTCGGGAGCAGAAGCCAGGCGGGTGCGCGGCTAGGGGAGGCGAGGGGGTGGGAAGGTGAGAATGGAAATTGGAAATGGCAGATCAAGAGGAGTGATCAGCGCAAAATCCCGGACGCAAGTTCACATGGAACAGAACCGCATGCCAATTGGCCGTCGGGGACGATCACGAACGCCGGGCGCCGGGTTCCACGATTTGGAATTCGCACAGGCTCCCGCTGCATGCCCTTTTGCGTGCGGACTTTGCACTTTTGCTGGATGCTCGAGTGCTCGATTGATTGCTCGATCGCATGCACCTTCAATGCACTGCCCTGCACTTTCCCAACTCCTGCTCGCGGATGAGTGACCCGACCCGACCATCGCGGCGGGTCTCGCTTCGCCTTCGGCCGCCGTGGCTCCCACTCTCCCTCGTCATCGGGGGCTCGCGCGCCAGGGTCGGACCCGATTCCACAGCCTCCCTTGTAGGCATGGGCACGTGGCCGGTTAACTTTCGTCTAGCCGGCTAGGGCCTAAAATTTAGCCGGCTAACAAACGGCTATTGGCCGAAAATGCAATCAACCGAAATATTTGTTCTATGGGATAATTTCGGCCGAATAGGACGAAATAATCGGCCGAAAAATTAAACTCGTTCCCAGTTTTCGGTTAGGGATAGCGGTGGCAATATTTATCTGTGACCCGATTTACCCGATCGGCTGCATAATCGGCTAGCCGGCTAACAAAAAATATTAGCCGGCTAGCCGTAGCCGAGCCGTGCCCATGCCTACTCCCTGGTCTTTGTTTTCGTCCTCCTGCTCCTCATTATTATCGCCAGATTGATAATCTGGACAAACGAACCCCATCAAGTCCTACGAATATGAAACCAAATGGCATCTCTTGATCAATCTCAATATCTGATCTTTTGTTTTATTAGTATGATGGTTATATTATTGCACGAGTGGTGACTATGACTCATATCCAAGAGTCTCTATCTTCTTGGGCGACAAATGGAGGCACGACAACCAATCCAAGATTGCAAGGCATGCATAGAGCTCACTTGTTTGAGAGTCCCCATTAAAAGATTATGTAGAGCTATGATCGTATTTGTGTGAGATTGCGTAAGAGGTAACTGTGCTACGGAGCATGAGGATGAGCATGAGGTTCTTTGAGGTCTTTGTATATTTTATTCGGGACAATGTTTTCTTTATTTTGTCCATGAATCACGATGCTTTCTTGGATGTTATGTTATTTGTAGACTATTTAATCTAGACAGTTTGCATATGTCATCTGCATTATGTTCAGTTTACATTTCTTATATGATTGAGTACAGTTCATTTATCTATGTTAATTTCCGTGATTTCTTTTCAAAGTTTTTGTTATGCACTTTGACTCCCTTAAATCTTGTAAATAAATCATTGAAACAAGATTCTTCAAAAAGTCATGATCCAATTAATTTTTTTCAACCTTGTATTCTTTAAATTCTTTCTATAAATAATATTTTTGAAATAACCTATAGATTAAAAAACATTTCCATACACTTTAATATGATAATATATTATCTTGCACACTCTCTTCCGAACATATTTGATTTATGTTCCTATTTTCATGTAAAATTACATTGATTAGATTTTTTGTGCAAAAAAATCTACAGCACAATAAGACTTTTTTTTGCACAAAAATTTGAATCGTTTAACTTTCATGATGCGATGCAAAAAACAGAAAGTAAAAATGATATTTTGAAATATTTTGAATGATTTTTTGGTTATATTCTAAAAGAAATAAACTCATGTCATCTTGCTAATCACAATTAATTGCATTAAATTTTGCTAATCATTATTTTTGCATATGGAGTATAACATTAATTACATTTTTTATTTGGAAAAACATAACGAGTTCAATAGAAAGTACATGGATCATCAATTTTACTTCTAAATTTGATTGTTCCATAAAGCAAGTCATTCAATAAGTCTACCAAGTCAAAAAAATTGAACCTTTCAAAAAGTAAAATTTACTTAAATTATAAATATTTTTGTAAATCAATGAAACCTGATTGACATGTATTGATAGATACTCTATATCTTCACATATAATCATATGCTAAACTTGTATATGTAATCATTTATCTTAGATGAATATAAAACCATAAAAAATAATTCTATACGTGTGTAAAAAGTTTTTTACAAGAAAATCTCAAATAAAGATATTTCATATATCATCGAATTAAATTAAAATATTCCAACTCTTTTATATATAATTAATATTACAGTATTATTTTTCAATAAGACGATAAGAAAAAATAAAATTTTAGAGACATTTATTGACTGAAAATGCATAAATAACTATCAATTTTTTCAAAGTAAATGATTTATCAGTTGGAAGAGATAGATAACAATTATAATTTATTTATCATTAAATTTCTGATTATAAATCATGCTTATATCATCCATCACATATGAAATAGAAGCAAAAATTTTAATGCAAAATATTTATAAATCCGAAGCCTAGACATGCGAACATACTTATTTATTGATTTTATTAAATCGGCGACTCGAACTATTTACTTTTGGTTTTTAAGACATTAGGGATGAGGAGGAGGAGTCACCGAGGTGTCAGGGAATGTCGTTCGACGTGTCCCGGACATTTGGAACCGGCTGGAAACGCGAGAGACGCCAGATGGGCCACGATGTTTCTGACAATACTGAGGACTGCCGTTGATCCTGCCTGCCGGCATCGCGTACGTGTCGAAGCTGAGCCAACCCGCGCTGCCGGGCATCCGACCGTCACTCGCCGAGCATCGCTCGTACGTCGACCGTGCCGGCGGGGTGACTCCCGGTCATCGGCACGGTACGATACTCTTGATGAGATTCAGCCGTCGGTCCCTCACTCTTCGACGTCGTCCGACTGCGACAGAGCTCCGACGAATATTCCGTTCCGTTCTCCAGTTTAACGGTATCTCGGAAGTACCGTGGGTCCCATCGAGTAACCAGACAAAGCGGGCCAAGTGGATATCACATCAAGCCCTGATACTATCATCATGAAATATATGTCGTTTAAGTATTGAACTAAATATAGCTATGAAGATATCAACGGGTCCCATGTATAAAGAGAGTCTCACGAAACCAAAAGTAAATGATTATTGAGAAAAAATATAGAAGGGACGAAAGTTGAAGAAATCAGTTAGACAAAGAAAGGGAGGTGGATGAGAAAAGAGGGAGCCAGTGAGAGTCACATTTGAGATTTTGTATGAATAAAAAAAACCCGAATTTTCCGGACCACCGAGCTGCAAAGAAAAGATCTGCCCTGGAGTACATGATGAACGATGTGTGCGTCACCGTGATAATCTGCGCAGAATGGGCTTGTGCCTTGGTCGGTCACGGGAAGGAGAGTCTCATCCTCTCTGTTGTGCCTCACACGCGATCGATCGAAGATGTACTCTCCTCGACAAAAAAGAATGGATGACTGTGGGACACCCACCTTGGCAGTATCTTCTGCTTTGCGTCCAGTATCGATGTCAAGTACTGTACTACCAGCGACAGCCAGCGGGAGTGAATGGGAGTGAGCGCATTGGAATTTGATTCTCACTCTTGTACTGTTATCCTCTGCCAAAATTCATTAATTCAATCTCTTAGTTAATACCATGTAGAGTGTTCATTGAGAACTATCTAACGTGAGAACACTGTGCAGAGATCTATGAGTGAAATTATTACTTCTGGGGTTTGGGAGGTTTTTTTCAATATGACATATTCTTGGGACCTTTTTCACTATTGATTTTGATTTTTATTAACGGGTCATACCGGTGCCTTATTGGAAAAAATTTGAAAATTAGACTATACGTTAAAAATTATTTCAGAATCTAGAGGTTTGAGTATTGACATAAACTCATGTGAGGTAGGGTGTTAGAGAATAGTATTGTTGCATAAGGTAGTAGAAACATGATGGTGATAATTGTATTGTTTTTTCATTTTCTCTCCTCAAATTATAGCTTCTCTTCCACTCAAGGTGACTTTATGAGAGATGTGTGTTGTCCATTATGCCAGTACGCCTATCTTCTAACTGTCGCGTATCGGAAAAGATTCATTTGATAATTGTTATAATAGACCACTTGGTCCACGCGCGTGATAACACTTATCACTGGCGTATACTAAGTTACATCACATTGATGTAGTCTGTTCTACAAAACTACATCATTTTTGAGTTCAATGATCGTATCATGCAAGTGAGAGCAAAGAAGTTATACATTTTTTACTTTAATATTTTATGGACGATCGTATGCAACAATTAGTATAAGATATTGATTTCTTTTGGGTGTCAGAAGTATTGTTTATATTATACTGTGGATATCACAAGTTATACCGTGACATCTCTAGTCGGATAGATGTTCATATACAATCTTCATAGCCGGTTGCGTAATTAACCTGTTGGCATTGCGGTTAGTAGGACAGGGTGGGAGGGTATATAACACTTCGGAGTCTCTTTCTTAAGTTGAAAATAGGTCCATGAAGCCGAGAGTGGATTCAGGCGAAATAATATTTCTATTTCATGCAATGATCATTGGGCTTACAGATTTTGTGAAAGAAAAAAATTTTCAAAAACGAAATATGGATTGTATTGCAAACATCCGGATTGACAACAAATATTCCGAAATTGTTGCTACTCATAGCGAAACGCTAACTCCCTCGATTTAGTCGCTTATGAACCGGCCTGTCATGTTCTGGGGCGAGTAACAAATTCGCATGATCACATCGGGATCCACTATCCAGCTGAACTAAGTCACGATTCCCGTTCCCATGCTCGATGAACTCTGAGAGTGCTTAGAGGAGTGAAGAATGTGTGTTTCGTAACAGCAGGAACACCAAATTCAACAATGTAGTCGACGCCTGGCTCATTCTCTCCTCGGACTCTGACAAAATCCATTTGAGCAGCGATTATGGCTGTTTTTTTCGCGCTGCTATGGTACTGGATCCTGATTGGAGATGGACGCGGGCGTTTTGCGTTTGCGGGGAATTCAAACTGGACGCAATGAAATATCGTCTGATCAATCTCCACGCAGTTCTGAGTTGTCAAATTAGCCCATTGATTGGGTCTCCTCGATATGATGGGTTTATATATCTATGAGTTCCAATCTTCACCCTTTCATTTCTGTCCACATTGAACAGCTCGATGAGCAATAAGGTGTGCACGAAGCTGAATATGAGAACTCGCCTCTGTTCAACCTCAGAGTCTAACTGCAGCTCAGTGTCAAGCGAAACAAGCGAGTGGCGAAAAGATGAACTGGTGAGAGAATCAGGAGCTCTGTCGAACCAGTCCAGCTCAAGTGAGGTCCAGGATGTTCGAGACTGGATAGACTCTTGTTACGAAAGCTTCGTCCCTATTCAGTGAACCTCGTGACCGCATGAGTAAATTTCAAGGTTCGAA